GACAGCCAGATAAAATCGCGCCAACTGGCTGCTTCTCTTGACAGTCTTCTGGATAATAGCTTCGTAATTATTATGTTATGCACCCCTGCACGAATTTACAGCGGTTCGCAACAAAACTCAGATATTATCTATTACAAAGTGCACAATAACATAAAGGATGATTAATTAATAATAGAACGGCTTTAAGATGAAACAGTATATGTTGCTTTGCGTATGAGAAGCTACAAATTTTACAAAGAACTGCGTGTTGTTTCAGTCAAAACTTGATGCTTAGGTAATTATTGGCGAACTGCATTATCTATTTATATACAGTATAGAAGAATTTTCAGAACTGTTTTCGCATAGCTTTGCAGATATCGAAAGGCAGAGTGATAGATTCAGCGTTTTGTAACTACCTTCCAGTATGCATCGCTTCTTGAAGCACCACTTCGACCAAGTATCTTTCCCTTGTTAGATGACAGAGAGTAATCAAATATGCTAAGTAATTGAAATTTATTTACATATTGGACTTGCGCATCGTTTTATGTCCAACTCATTCTACGAGTTTTTATATTTTCGAAGCTATCAAGTATTAAAGTCGAAGTTACTCTCTTGCAAAACTCATGAGAAACGTTCTTGTCTCTTGTACATGTAGATGTTCATAGTCACGAAAGGTATCTGATAAGAGGAAAAGTAAATCCAAGTAACATTAGTATTTCCGTATATATGCTTTTGTTAATTCCAAAATATAAAAGTGACGAAATAACCGATCTGTTCAAACCAGTGAGTTCTAGATTTTCATCGGCAGAGAGACTACCAGAAAGATGGTTCAAATCTGTTGATGAATGCACATCTGAAGAATATCTGAGGATGACGCGAGAGAAACTTGCAAAAGCCTTTACGTAAGTTTTGTGGCTTTTCAATACGAAGTCAAGAAGCTCAGAAGGCTTAGCCACGAGGGGCGTGGATCAGTACCATTAAAGGAAAGCAAAATTTTGCTCTATGCTTTTTGGCGAATTAGAACAGCTTTTTGGGAAAAAAATGAAGTGTTCCAGAACTCGCTTCGTGAACTCTGCGGCAGAAGCACTTTCTGATCAACGTAAAATGATAGTTTGTATGCGGGAGAAGGAGGAATTAAACGTAACGTATCTGTCTCTTTTTGGTATCCTTTCTTTAATCTTACGTTTTTCTCTATCTTTTTCCGCAACAGGCCGAAGAACGACAGTGTCGAGTAGTTGGCTCCAGTCTTCTAAAAAGGCTGTTGAAAGAGAATGATTTGCAGATTAAGGTAATTTAGAGTAATTTGCATCAGAACCAAAAAGAATCAGCACATTTTTAGATCCATATGTTCCAGATTTGATTTGTTCAGTTTTAAACACCATTTGCAGTTGCCCGTACCAGTCAAGACATCAAGCATAATTGATGATGCCTCAAAGGCGATCAGTGGTAAATACGATGTAACGATAGGTCCCGAGAGTGGTAAAGGTAGATTCTCATTCATTTCCTCTGCTGAGCTGGTAATGTTAACTAGAGTTTTTTCATAGAGAAAGTTAACTGCTTTGCTATGCTGCTCATGTTCTAAAAAGTACTTTAAGTTGCCGTTGCACCGCATTTCTTACATGGAGATGAAATGATTTCAATCTTATAGCGCTGCAGACTATTGGTCGTGTCGTGCCCGTCGCTCAGTTGACTGAGACAAGCTGCTCATTAGCTCAACTGCGTTTTTATGCAAACGACACAAGCCTGTCTGACTCTTCGAAATTTCTTGAAGCTG